ACTGGATAGTGAAGTCAATAAGTGATACCCATGAGCCCACCCATGAACAATGCACTATCCGTCAGCAACAAACTCACGGATAAAGTAATAGCATTTTTAACACTAGCAGTTTTCAATGTTTCTCATAAAGGGTGTTTCCTAATTGTCGGGACATGTTTTGTGGACTTGTTCCTTCGGCTCAGAAAAGATAAAATGCCATACAAGTATCTAGGTCTGAAATGTCTGTTTGTGATAAAAAAAAATATATTTGATATCTTGGCATTTTTCAAGATATCAATTTTTAAATTGGTACAAAGGTGTAGTTTAGAAGTTAAATAGAGCTTAAAAAATGTTGTCCCAATATCTCAAGCCCTTTCATTATGGCGGCCATTTAAACTCTTTAATGCCAAATTTCATTAGGTTTTTATCATCAAAAAGATAAATCTAAAGGTAAATCCAAATCAAATGAGACCTTGTTTGTTTAAATCGGATGACAAATAAACAACGTCACATTTGATTTGGATTTAAATTCCCTATCTTTTTGATGATCAAAAAAGATTTCTTAATATTTACAGTTTTCATGAAATTTGGCATTAAAGATTTGAAATGGCCGCCAAATTGAAATGGCTTTAGATATTGGAACGAAACTAAAATCGCAAACAGACCGACAGACAGAAATCTAGACATTTTAGACCCATGCTTATGGCATATTATGTTTGTCTTAGTCCAAGGAACACTCACACTCACTCACTCCCATGGCCATTTATGCCCAAGGCGCGATTTGGCCGCACCAACCACTGATCTCAATCTCTCTCTATCTTCTGCCTCTTCCACTGCTGCCTCCACTTCTCTGATGAGACACTATCCCACCATTCCTTCCTAATTCCTATGTTGCTGCTTTTAATAACCTGTCCAAGGAACCAGTCCACAAAATATATCTAGAAAATTTGGAAACACCCTGTATATAATAACAGGGTTTGACTAAATTTTCAGATGGTTTGGTAATACATTGAAAATCCAGATTCTTTTACAATATTAACTATATTTTTAAGGAAGTAGGATACTACCAGTATCTAAAGATTTGGTTTGCAAAGAATATGGGCAAAATCTAGAGCATGTAAAAGTTAAAAGTAGAAAAGCTATTTTTTAAGAGAGTAATCAAGGATGTGAGTAGACTATGCAATCCAACCCTGGGGTAGTGTTAAGTCATCTGATGTTTTTACTATACACTGTAGGTACACATGTTGCTAAATTAATTAGAAAACAGTGTTTGAACCAAAATGTTAATTCATCTCTCTTTTAGACCTTTGTCAATTTTAAAAAGGTTGTTTACTCAAATAGTGTGTGCTGGCCCTTTATAAGGTAATTTCAATAATCCAGACAATTTTATAAACTGGATCGGGTTAGGTCTCAATCAATCCGGATTATTGACGTTTTACTGTAGGCCTACTTATGGATTTCTATAGGCCAAAGTGATTCTTGGAATACTACTAAAGAGAGATATGATCTTACCAATATGCTTGTCGACTTCAACAATTTTTTCTATCGTAGTTAGTTCTAAGAGTGGCGATGTTATTCTCTTCTCCACGGCTAGAACAACTCCTTCTGAAGTACAAATGCCAAGAGCTGTCGACCCCAATTTTATAGCTTCAATAGCATATTCAACCTAGATATTAGAAAATTGGTTTTTAGAAGGATCTGCTGTGATTGAAGTTTTACCAGATTATTCATGCACAAAAAACATGATTTAAAACTTGCATTTGAATACATGATTGATGTGATTATTTGCTGAGTTTTTTCATTAAGTTTTTGATTGAAATAAGTATCTGTTAAAGACAGTGTCTTCTGCAATTCTTTGGAAATGGAAGGAACTGCCTGAATATAGGTCTAGTGAGATTGAACTAAAAGGTTTAAGGTAACGTAAGGGAAAAGGAGCCATAGTCCGGCATAACAATAACAGTAGCATAAACTTAGGTAGCTGAATGATTATAGTAGGTACTCGCCTAACAATCAAAAGGTAGCCGGATCGATCCTGAGAAAAAATACCCCTGCCGCAGCAAACCTGCTGACTAAGCGAATCTCCATTTGCCAGATTTGATTTTCAGTTAAATTTATTTGAATGATATTATTAGGTTTAAGGAGTACCTAGGTTTGCTGCTACAGGGAATGTCAAAAATGTGCTTTTAGCAAAATTAGTATAAAATATATACATAAAATAAATATAAGTTTGATTAAAATAAGTTACCTATCCAAAAACAATTTTTCAACTTTCAAGCCATTATCACAATTATAATGAAAAATTACTGACAAAAGGTATGGAGTGATTTAGCCTACATACTAACTGGTCTCCGTACACACCACAACTAGTCTAACTGTAAGACGTAGGCCTAATGAGTAGCAAAGGCCTATAATACCTATTCGAATGAAATTGGCCTATGCAATAAAGGTCTGATAATTAAGAGGGGACTCAAAACAAACAGGTTCTTTTAAAAAGTTACATCCACCATCAAGGGGCCAACTTAAAAATATACCATTCATCATTACCGGTACTGCCTTACCTGAAATAACCTTCCTTCAGGCGAAAAAGTGTTGACTCCACGGTCGTACTCTGAGCGTGTCAGAAACATCTGAAAACATTAAAACACATGATTGAAGACTATAATTTTACACAGTAACTACTAGAGCTTGATAGCATATTTCATTGGAAATGTCAATGAACCAGCCTGAGGTCTCTGGTTCAACTTCAAATTGATAGTGGATTCAGATGTTCGTTACTAGGTGTCACTACAATGACACATAAAAAAAAATAATAATAAGACAATTCCCAAGTCTCTACGACTAAGGTGAAGAGAACTAAGGTAAAAGGACTATCAATTAGGCCTAAGTTAACTTAATGCTATCTGACTAAAGGTTGTCAAAACAGTAACAAAACCTAGGTTTGTATTGTTCCCTTAAAAAAAAAAAAATATTAAAATGTCGTGGATAGGCCTTAATTCATTAGATAGCCTATAAAATAAAATTATGAAACCTAGGCCTGGCATTAGGCGTACCTTGACGTTTTACTTTCATGGGTGATTTTGATCAAATAGGCCTAATTTATTCCATGGACCTACCTAAAGACCATATTCCATAACTGATGCTGAGACTTATTTACACCTGACCACATTTTTAAAGGGCATTAACTTAAGTAAGCTTAAGCCTAAGACAGTAGCATAAGCCATCTTGAACATTCTTTAAAGGCCAAGTGAAATCACATCTGATTTTCTGAATCAGTTTGCATGGACCAACACAACGGCGTGTTAGCCTTAAATGATAAATGATAAATGATTTATTCAGCCATTCAGTATTTACAAATATACAATAGGCATTGTCAAAAAACAGCCAAAAATAAACAATACAGAAAGCTACAATAAACTAAAAACTATAAAATCAGCAAAAACCATGCAGGTTGCACAAGCAAGCAAAATAAATAAATATAGTAGCCTACATATACCTTTCAGATTCCTATTCTAAGGTACAATAAATGGGCCATGCTTCATAGCAACAAAAAATTCTTCTGTCTTATAAAAAGGGGGCCTTGTTGGTCATCTTACATTTTTAAGTGCAATGGTAACTAACTTTAAATACCATTTCAATTTTGAAAGCTGATTATGTTCATGCCTTCTCTGCTTAGTTTAAACCTTAATTTTTCAATAGTGTAGATGATCATGTTTATTTTGGTAAAATAAAAACAATAATAGTACCTCTTACTTGGATGGATAGAACAATAACAGTATAATATTTGGACAGAAAGAGGCTGGAATTATAAAATTCTTTCCCCTAAGGAAACTTCTAAACCTAACCTAAGTTAATGGTTTTGGCTAAATACTGTTGTTAATAATTTAATATAAAAGATGACAATACATAAACCTCAATAAATAATTTTAAAATGTTAGATACAATAAATATTTTACAAGATATTTACCTTGAGTTAATAAATAAAGTTGATTTACACAAAAATACTGAAAGTCATGCACACAGACCGCTATGCTTAAGATATCCAGAGACCTACAAACACAAAAACTATAATCAAAAAGGCTGATTCAGGCAACGGCTACCAAAATATAATCCAAGGGAGTATATTGTTTAATCCTAGGAGGTTTAATCTCTGTGTCGATCAGATGGGAATAATACAGTTTCGATCAAATTTCAATGGTCTCCACCCATTTAATCCATGCTAAAAAATTATGCAGGAGCCCCTCAAGCAGCAAGCATTACATTTTTAATCAACAATTTTTAGTTAGTTATCAATATGATCATGACACAAGAAATGTGCTGTGTACGGTGAAAAGGGACCTCTTGTCGGAGATGCAAAATTTTCAGTACGGCCGATATAAGTAATTAAGGTAGAAAATATCAAATTTCGAGGTTTTATCGACTGTTACACCTCATTTAACATAGAACATGACAGTATCGCGGTAAAATATCGAATTGAAGATGCATAAGGTCGAAATAAATCATTTTGTGAGTTTCTGCACACGGTCTGAGAAAAGGTACCTCTTGTCGCTCAATGTTATTTCACCTTAACTTCATGCAGCACGACACAGCCACCTTTGACAACAGGCCGCGGCCTGGAGTTAAAGGTGGCCACGAGTCATGCAGACGTTTTAACTTTTTTCTTATCTGAAATATTTAATTTATATCGAGTGCAAATTTGCCCCCTATTTGGACCCAAAAAATCACGTTATAAATAAAACTGTCTTAAGCTCAGTGTTAAAATTTTTTACTATTTTAGCTAGCATTGCTAGCAAACTCATTCATCCGATTTTTTATAATTAACAACAAAGCATAATGAAACATTGTATGTGTACCCACAGAAAAAGGTGTATAAATTTATGTGGCAGCATGGCACATAAAAATATCAAAATAGGGCTAGCTAGCAAGAGTGGTAGCAAGCCCAAGCACCACTAGCAACTAGCAAGCACTAAGCAGGTGACTGCTGACATTGAGGAAGTGCTATTATTGAATACAATATAAGTGAAGTGTCAAATTTTGCTGTCAAAATTACATTGTTTTGTTATGATTCATACCTTGAGACATGTGGCTCAACCATCTTTTCCCTTGACTTAAATTTATTGAATTATAGAAAAATAAGTTAGCAATTCTCTTTAGAATTTTGTTGTGGCTTTTATTTCAAATCAAGTAAGTTATAAGTTAGCTTTTGTTTTAGGCCTAGACTCTAGGAAGCCCCTCAAATTGTTCTTGGCAAGTATTTAACAAGTTATGTGTGTTGGATTAAGTTAATAAATATATTTTTATTTAGAAAAGTCAATGGATGATGAAAAATGTAGATCAAAGCTTCTAACTCCACTTCTTTTATTTTGCCCATGTTACTAAACTTAAGTTAACGCTGGATGTCAGTAGAAGTCCAATTAAGCTTATCTAAAATGTCTCTCAAACCACCAACAAAGCCTATCCTAGGTCTATTTATGAATAATGTGAATTTAGGCCTCATATAACTTAGGCTTATATAACATACTAATCAACGCCTAATTATAAAACTAAATACCGGTAGGCCTATTATGTTATGTGTATATTACAGAATAGGCCTACTAGGCTATTCAATTGTGTGTAGGCCTAGCTACTGTCTACAGAGCGTGCAGCTCAATTAAACTAACTGAGGCCTATAACTTTTTACTAATATATTCCCTAGCCTAAATCTAGTATTTTAGAGTAAGTTTCTTTTGAAGTGATTTAAGTTAACTGAAGTTAATAAGCTAGGCCTAGCTGAAAATTTAAATAGGCCTAAATCAACTAATTTATAACTTACGTCGTTTACAAATTCATAGACAAATAAAATACTTAAATATAGACTGACAAAGGAAGGTTCCATGATGTGCCGCTAGGAGTGCTGTGTAGTTACTTCGCACACCGCTGCAGGCAAGGAGCCTTATGCTACCAGCAGATGCTGCAGCGGTGTGCGCCTTAACTACAAGGCACCCCTAGCGTTGGACACCGGAACATATTATGCTGACCGCAGCACTGCTGTTGGTCTACCTATATTTATTCTAATTTGTCTATGACAAGATGAAGCAATTGCATCTCCTCATCCTCACTTCAACTTTGAAACAACCGCTTATCAGCTACTATAGGTAGGCCTATGGATTTTAAAAGCTAAAAAAGGTGTTGGAGCACCCAGGAAACCTTCCTCTAATCCGCCTAAATTTTATGAACGGACTATAAATATTATTGCCAATCACATGATTACGGTACTTAATTTAGTTTGCTTAACTTATCAAAAGCTAGATTTTGCTGAGAATAACCGGAGTATTTGTTAATTATATACTAAACTTATGCCTAGTTTTAATCTACATTCCATTTACAGGTAAAATGCCACGCCCATTGCCTGAAGCTTCGGGTAACATTGGAAATTTTATGAGCAAACCTGCTAGGGGATGGTTACATCTGGATCATACAATTACAAAGAAAGGCGTAACTTATGCTGTCCGGGTAAGTGTTTTTGTATTTACTAAATTTGATTAGTGCATGCAGGGCCGGTTTAACCCATACGCGAACTACGCGGCCGCATATGGCGCCACAAAAAAGTGGCGCCGGTGCCAACGGAACATTTTTTTTCGTGAACAACGTAATTTTGTTTATTTTTGCTCAGAGTTCAAGTATTCAAAGCACCACAATAAAGGCATTTATTCTGTTTGTACCAACAGCCCTTGAAAATTTTGTATATTTGTACAGCACTACAACTCAACGACTCAATGCCATTTGCAGTTTCGATTTGAACTGAGCTGACGCTCGGCAGTCGTCAGCGCCAGCGCGGCACCTATGGGTTTCATTTCACGAATCACTCATGCTTGAGATAAGCAAGCGCGCAGCGCCACTTGTCACAACAAGAAACTTCCCCTTTCTTTCACTCCATTCTGCCTCTGATCCTAGAGCACTACGTTGTATTGCACTCTTTTAGTTGTATACGTAGGCCCCGGTATGGATCATAAACATAAACAAATGACGTTGTTGGCCCGAATCCTATATTAATAGCATTGAACATATGTTTGGCAGTTCCATTTAAGCAATGTTAAATAATGTTTATTTTCGGGCCAAAAACGTCATTTGTTTATGTTTATGATCCATACCGGTATTTTTCTAGTAATCGTGCGTAGGCCTGTACCGTATCGGTATTGTATTGGCATTGTTTTGATGATTCATGATTGTTGATAAGCGAATTATTACGAGTGTTTTAAGTTTAATTTATAATTAGCGCATTAAATAAAAAGAAAGTATAAACTGAATGGATGAGTAAAACATATTGCGAGCCGAAACTATGAAAACAATGGCAGAAAAAAAGAAACCGTCTGGCACTTATCATAGAAAGCGTAAGGCGAATTTGGAAGAGGAAGAAAAAAAACCAAATCAATGAGTAGACTTTTGTAGAAATCATCTGGTGGCGAGTCCAGTCAGCTCAAAGATGTCACGATAGAAGACGGCAATGACGTAGGTATTTATTTATTTATTTTCCAAGGAAAGATTAAAACAAGCAGCTGATCACAAACGGCAAACATTACGTCATTGCCGTCTTCTATCGTGACGTCATGCTTGACGAGCATAACATTACGGCCTGTTTTTTTAGCGTGTCCTTGGTTTTGCTATAATTTATATGATGAGTAAAACCAGTAAAAGTGTATAAATGTCACATTTCTGCGAATAATAAACAGCCTTTTATTGCAAGTTAGTATTCTTCTACCTAAACTTATAAAAAAATTCTTCCGAAAATTATTAGGAAAAAATTCACAAATACGGTTAAGTTATGTTCATGGGTTTGGGGGGGGGGGGTTCTAAGTGGCGCTGATTCGGGTGTTCGCTTAACTCTGAAAAATTCCTAGAACCGGCCCTGAGTGCATGGTTTATTTTACACGCGTAAATTCAATTCACTTAGCTATGACTTAGCCGATTGTTGGTAGGCTAAATTTTCTGTATTAAATGGCTAAATAAACTAAAACCATTCAATTTGTGGGTTCTAATTTCAAAAACTGAGATTGTAGGTACCAACTTTTATGTTGATTCTATCTAAGAAAAGAATCAAGAATTTTTATTCATCGTTAACGCTATGTACAACACATGCAATGGATGAACGTCATAATAGTAGCCTAAAGTTTACAGGCAATAAGGCTAAATAAATATAGACAATAAAATATAAACAAGTGCAGTGTACATGCAAAAAGTATCACAGTCATCTTAAAAATAAAATACTTTAAGGTTAAAATATTGATCTCGGTCTCAGATAGGAACAAATCCAGAGTTCCCTTACAACCTTTGTGATCCAGGGTTCCCTAGACCACTCCTTTCCTAAAAACATAAACATGCAAAAGATGTAAAGGTACACACACATAATAACTTTTAAAAAACTTGATGTCAACAAATCAATTGACCGAAGGATTTTAAGTTTTCCCTTGAAGAAGCCATTGATTTCTGTGGTCGAGGCATGATAAATCCTTGAGGTTGTAGAGCTATAGTACTCTATTTAATCTTAACATTTTAAAAGCTAAAAATAATGTTCCCTGATGGTAATTATTTCCGAAAGCATCTTAAACACTGCTATATTATTATGTGCTAATGAGACTTATTTTATAACTTACTGTATTTAAAATTAAAATCGTAAAATCACTAACTAAATCAACTATCCACTGAAGCATGTTTACAAATTTAATCTATATTCCTATAACTTCTTTTACGTCTCATTGGTACATGATGTTCTTGAATGACTTTGAAGTTTTTTTTTTTTATCCTTGTGTTTTTATTTGAAGTATGAATGTTGATATGAAAAGTTATGGGTAATTATGTCGACCTCTAGTCAACGCTCTAAAATATGATTTTTTTTATCTGTTCGTTTTATTAGCGCAGATTCCAAAAATGATGGTAATTTTTTGTGGAAAAGCACCGTTTTCCCAGGAAAAGCGGAAAAACAAAAAAACCCTTTTTTGCCCAAAAGTCATGTTGTGAGTATTCAAATTGTGCAGAATTTCATTATGAATTCAATGGACCATCACAAAATGTTGAACATAACCACAAAATGTTAGGTTAGGTAAGGTTTGGTTAGGTAGGTTAGATTGGTTTAGGTTAACTTAATTTGGTTAGGCCTAACTAAAACCTAACCTAAACTAAACTAACCTAACCTAACATTTTGCCGGCTTGTGAGGTTATTGATTGTTGGATCGTAATGGAAAGTACACCGTTGAATTCATCATGGATTCTGCACAATTTTGGTACCTACAACATGACTTTTTTTGCAAAAAGTGTTTTTTCCGCTTTTCTGGGTTTGTAATCAACGCTAAAAACCGAGCAGTTAAAAAATTTTTAGAGCGTCGACTGAAGGTCGACATAATTACCAAGTGATGAGGTATAAAAGGATAATGGATGTTCTTAAATACTGTTAGTCACAGCGGAGTAAGGTGCTGAGGAAACATTCAATGGTACACTTGCTTAAATGTTGTGTATAGCACTAGTCGCTAGTATCTATAACAAAGCCGTACACCGCCCCCTCGCCCTCATGAACTACAACGCTTACGGTGGAGAAAGACTCAGTGCCCTGTTTGATAGGAGTTCCCACAGAGTGCTCCAGGCTCTTCCTTGCACGTCACAAGTATATTTCCAGCACAGCATACTAGAGCTGAAAGCGCATGGTTGTCCCATAAACAAGTTTCCCCTGTACCTTACTTCTCTGTGTGTATAGTACGACAGAAAAATAACAATAACACGGATCTTTTTTTTCAGTACATTGGCTGCCTTGAAGTTAAGACTTCAATGAAAAGTCTTGATTTTGACACACGGTTTCAAGTAGCCAAGTAAGTTTCCATTGTGTAATTCAATTCAGCGTTGCAATGCAGCGTTATTTATGATTATTGTTTTATATAGGCTAATAAAATATATTGTCAAATCTATTTTACTGTAAAAAGGAGACGTCTTTTTCCTCAGAACCAATCATCCCAATTTCATTTCCGGTGGTGGGGGGGGGGGGGATGACCACTGGGGGAAATGGAATTCCCCCCCCCCCCCAAAAGGGTGGTACGCCCCCAACCCCCAGAAAAAATGTAGAATTTAAAGCCTAAAAACGTATTTGAGCTCTAAAATATGCTCAAGCTAATAGTATTTACTTATGTTAGTTAAGAAAATATAAAATATGTCTGGGGGGGGATATATCCCTCCCATCCCCCCCCCCCTGGGACTGACACTGGAACCAATTTCTCTGGTTACTTATTTTTATCAATCTACCATGCATTACTCAATCAAATTAAAGCGGTTCAGTAAACATTAAATTGTATTTCTATTGCATAAGTTCTACATGCTAGGTACATGGCTCAGGTTCCTCAGTGTAAATTCGGAATTAGAGAACACCCAAAAAAAAATCATATGCTCAAATCTGGTGACCTTGGAGCCAAGGAGTCAATCGCAGAAATTACCCATCTTAATCAGTGTATAAGAGTTAGGGTATATGAAACTTTTTGTAATAAATTCAACGACTTTTTTAGGGAATGTATAAACAGAGTGTGTGAAGCAGCTGGACTGAAGACTGTTGATAAGAAGCGAAAGGTAGGAATTTCAACAGTGATCATATATTCTTAGGCTATTGAAATTTGTACATTTTACTTTTAAGATTTATCTACCTATTTTTATTTATTTTTTTTTCAGTGAATTGGTTAAACGTTCTCGTATTAGCATGAACAAATTCCATTTTCCTGTAGGCCTAGGCTGATTTCACTTTTCTCACCATCAAAATATACATTCTTCATCATATAAAACTTGTGTAAAGTCAGTTTGGTGATGAGTGTTCTTACGTTGTGTAATTATTTTTAATCACTGAAATACCATTTTGATAATAGCCTATTTCTGTTAACTCTATTATTTTTTTTTTGTATTTTGGATAGGTTTTATCAGATGAGATTGAATTGTTTACTTAACCTAACCTGGCCCAACCTAACAATAATTGTTAGGTTTTTTATCATGAAACCACTTGTTCTAAATCCTGGCTGACATACTTCACTCTAGGACTACCATTATCTACTTTTAGCGAATTTCCCATATAGGGAATAAGCTATTACCGTAGTACTCATGGTAAGACCTGGACCCGGGACCGATTTTTTTTTCGTTTTGAGGTCCCTAGAGGCCAAAAACACCATTCGTTCAAATTCATATATATATATTTATATATATATATTTATATATGTGTCCGTTAGCGCGATAACTCGAACAAAAATGATCCGATTTTGATGAAATTTGGTACAAACGTGTAAACCTACGTTTATTCGAACGAGTTCGCGAACCAGCATGATCGGACCATGGGAACGGGGGTTTATGGGGGCTTTTATGGGGTAAAAATAGGTTTTTCCCATTTTTGACCCAAAAAAAATAAAATTTTGCAATTTCTTTCTAAACTATTTTGTAGAGCTTAAAAAAACAAATAATTTAGTATATTGAAGCGTTATAATGCGCCTATCGGTTACAGAGAAAATTCCAAAAAATTGTAAATTTAAAATTCCTATGTTATTCTTATGGAGAATAAGTAAACTGTTGTAGTTTGCTTGTTTATTAACATATTTTGCCCAAATTTGGAAAATGTTTTTATTTCTTACTACCTATTAACATTTTACATAAAAAACACTTTTACCCTCCCTGTTGCAGCAAACCTAAGTTTGTGTTTTAACTCATTCTATTTAAATAGGGAATAAATGTGATATTTTTAAGGAGACATTTTAGTGTAAATCCAATCAGGCAAATGGAAATTCGCTTAGTCTGCAGGTTTGCTGCGGCGGGGGTATTATAGTTTACGTGACATAAATGGCTTTCGTTTACCCTAAGTTGTCTAAGTTTGGCTTGATTAAAAATTAGCGATAGAATGAGAAATAGAAACCAATAATTAACATTGGTGCACTTGATGGTACAAGTTAACTTCAATTTATTCTAAAACAGGTTAAAAACTTATACATGGAAAGTGTTATATCCACAGTCAAAGAATATATATACCCTGTCTAAAATGCCATGTTTGCTCAGGTGGACAAGCGCGTCGTCCGCAGTATAGGTGAGCAGCCGCACATGGAGCATGCTGGAACCAACGTCAACCTCACCATCTCCAGCACTAGTCTGTCCCTGCGTACACTGGACGGTGGACAGGTGGTAGCGTCCCATGAGATGCCCAGGATATCCTTTGCATCCGGGGGTGACGTGGTTAGTACAGCAGACAATTCAATTCAAAAATACTTTTACCTAAGACCGTTTTTTTAAATAGCCGTACCAGTTCAGTTCTTAAAATTGAAAAGTTTCACAATAGCCTAGTATAGTTTTACATAACAACACGGGTAACAGACGAATGAGGTTCAATGATTGAGAGAGAAAAAGTAATATAATGATTCCAACTTCAACTAATCAGCTGTTCAGGCCAATTTAATTGTTGAGTGGTGCAGTGTTTGGTACAATGTTTCATGCATCACTGTCAGTGGAAATGAGAGGTTATAAACGAAAATATAACTTCTCTTAGAAGCTATGAGTAGTGATAGTAATTAAAACACTGTTGTAGGTAAAGTAGTGAACGCAACTCGCGTAAATAGTGTTAACGACACTCGTAGAAGTTCACTTGGCTAGTAATTATTAGATAAACACAGTACGACGGTAACTATAGTCAAAACAAATCTATCTCAGACAAGTTGACAAATATTTAGCTAAAGTTACTGGACAGAGTTAGGCTCTACACTCGTTAGATTTGAATGACTTGACATTTAAAATTCTCTTTAACATTGTAAAAATCATCCAAATTAATTATGGTCAAGGAACTATTGATACTAAAGTGGCAAATCATTATTTGGAAAAAAAGTAGAGAACCAAGAGCGGAAGCCTTTGGGTACCACTGTTTTCACCTCTAATCACCCGGGATGGACACCTCCTGAATCAAAAAATGGAGAGCGACCTTTTAAAATATGACGTTAAAAACTGGAGAGGCCCTCTCTCTTGACTGTACCCTCTCTTGAGGTCTAGATCGGTAAAAAAAACGGCTAACCATGTAACCGTGTAAAATAATGTAAGCGTAAATACATAGTACTGAATTAGCGGCATATAGCAAAATATTTAATGTAGCACTGTTTAAAAAAATCTTTTCATGTGAGAATTGGTATTTTATATACGTTTCAAATTCAATTGATTTATTTCCCACGGTTTCCACATTTCTTACAGGTACAAAAGTGATTAATCAATCTTAGATATGATAGATAAATTTATACAGAGTATCTTGTAAATAAGTAAGTTATAATTTTAACAAAAATAAAAAAATATACATTTAAGTTGCAGTGTTTCTATTAATTACTTTAGAGACATGAGAAACAGTTTCCTTCCACTGCGTGAAAATGATCACATTGTATCATCTGTAAATAGTACGCAAAATAGCTCATTTCCGCTCAAGAGCGGGAATTCTTCGGGAAGTCAATTTTTATATGTTATAGTTTTATATTTTGTAAGGAAACAGTCCAAATTACAATACCTTTTAAGTTACTACATTTATTACCTTTTGTCCTACATTTCTTGATAGTCCAAAAACAATTCTTGTTTGGGGTAGCGTTTAACAAACACCATAACCACTCAACCTGTTGTTACAGGATACGCTGGACTTTGTCGCTTACGTAGCCAAGGACCCTCGTGAGTGGAGAGCGTGTTACGTGCTGGAGTGCGGCGGAGGACTGGCACAAGACGTCATCACTACTATCGGACAGGCTTTTGAGCTTAGGTTCAAACAGTTCCTCACCCTGCCCAACCTACCACAGTAAGTCAAAACATAGTCAGAGAGCACAAAAATAATGGTTAAACATACCAGTACCTTGTCGGCCAACCTTAACATGAACTGTAGTGTTGTTTAAAACTTGTTACTATGTTTCGGCGGTTGTTTAAACCTCCGCCATCATCAGGCTAACAAAAGGATCCTCTTGAGGTGTCGTTAGAATAAGCTACACACATTTTACGAAAAACACAAAAACGATTAAAGATAGGCCTATCAATTACACGTGTGTACATTGCTGTAGGCAGGACTGGAAGCAGACTGCCAGTCCTAATAGATACAGTGATAGTTAGCCACTACCTATCACCAGGGCCTCCAATCCTTGAAAACAATCCTAATAGATAGCTTCAAAATCCTCAGAGCAACCCCTAAACTAAAGGCTTCTTAGAAAAACCTCAGACAACGACATCTACCAACCACCCAATTTAAAGCAAAATTAAAGTTCACCCTAAACTACCAAATCCTGACAAGGACAAAGAAAAACCTGTAGGAAGGTTCATTTCCATGTGAAATCAACATAAATAAGCCTAGCACAACATTCACCAGCACATCAACAGGAGAAACTTTCAAAATAAGAGGAAACAATACCTGCTCCACGAAAAATGTTGCCTATCAGTGCAACCATTGCCGATCTCAATATACTATAGTTCGGCCGCTTAGAAAGCGACCTCCTCCAGCATTGGCTTAGCATTAGCGCGCAGGTCGTTTTCTAAGCGGCCTGCATAACGACCTGCGCGCTAATGCTAAGCAAATGCTGGAGGAGGTCGCTTTCTAAGCGGCCGAACTATAGAGGTCGTCCAGTGGTCGAAAATTCAACCAAAAATAAATATGTAAGGTACTGACGATTTTCACCCCGCACTCTAAATAAAACATGTGATTCAAATTTTTTCCATTTGTTTTGATTTTCTGTTTATGTTTTGTTGTTATTTCGTCACCAGCATGGCAACCCATAGAGTCTGTGTTAATTTAAAAAAATTTTTAACTTATTTGTTGTGCTTTTTTTGAGCCTATGACAATTTATAAAGGTATTCTGCACATCTACAAGCAAATATCTTTCTAACAGTATGCATGGATTTCCGCTGCGATGCAAACAAGCTGAGACAAAAGGTTTTAAAGAAACATGCTTGCCTATTATTATATAGATTGGACTTACCACCATCAGAACGAGAATTAATAATCATAGGACAGACATAAAGAACTCAGACATACCAGTGTCTATTCATGCTGCCTGTCACAATATACAAGACTTAAACAGAGGTTTCAATTATTCAAAAAATAATAAGATCTTTCCCTCTAACCTGTAACCCATCATAATTAATTAAGGAGATGGGAACATTCGTATCATTGGTAGGCTATACCAAATCCAGGGAGCCCCAAAACCATCTCAGATAGCGAATTCCCTTACCCTCTGCATACCTAAAGTAGACTCTGCTGTAAATAATAATCAATGACAGTATATATTTTTAAATATGCATTTGCAAACTCATAATGTGTTGGCAACACTGCTTCCTTTACCAGTGTGTGTTTTCTTTTGTGTTAAACTTCAGTGAAGTGGTATGCCTACAATTTATACTTTTATTTAAGTAAGCCTGCTTATCCTGTCATTTGTCTCCTTAAAACTAATCAATTTTTGTTGTAGGTCTACAGTAAGAACAGACGACAGAGAGTACTACAACGATCTGCCTGGCAAGGTACCACCTGATGTAGGCCCTCCGCCTGTGCCACCTCTACCTAACGCTACCTCCATGGCCCCTCAACCTAGAGGTTTGTTACTAAATGAATGCTTGGACCAATGCACAAAAAAGCTTATTAAAGATTAGTGGACTGTTCAAGGAGGTTTAATGAGCCTTCTTCATCATATAGAGACACTGCTTTGGTTGGCCGAGACGTTCTTGCTTGTTTTATTGTAAATCTGATTTAAAATGCATATCGTATAGGCCTTTAATCAGATGAAAGAAATAGATGGCCACGTGGTATTAGTTTACAAGATGATTTTCCCTACTAAAACTGCCACAATTTTTCTTTATGCGTGTAAAATATCTGTTCTGGATTACTTTAAGATATAATCAACTACTTTATTCTTGTACGTAGGACGGGCCAACAGCTAGTAGTATTTAAGACTAATTTATTTTTACCATAGTCTAATTCAAATATTACTGTAGACTAGGAAAATAAATTTTAATTTTATGTATTTTTTAAAATAAAGTAATAATCCAACAGTTTAAATACATTCGCAAATACTGAACCTTTTATGGTTTTTTGATATGTATGATACCGTAATTCCAAGAAAGATAATAATTCAGTTCCATTCTCTATTAGTTACTGCACTGCATTCGTCCGAAATGCAAGGTCGACCTTATTGACCTTTTATCTTGGTGATTAGATATTGTTGGCCGTCTTAGTTGTCTTGGATATTCTTGGATGATTTGTCTTCAACTTGATTAGTCACTCAATCTGTTGTGTTGTTTGTAGAGCGGCTCGTATCGACCAACCTCATAGATCTGAACTGTGATATCATCGGTCCTCCCACTCGCACTCACGACTACGTTAACGACATTGTGATCAACAATAGATCACCCAGAGACGTATTTGATATGCGTAAGTCTATCTTTGAGTGATGCTTTTTTATGTCATTGTCATTGTATTGAGTTTTGCGGGAATTAAACTCAAAATTGAACAGTATTAATCCCAATTTTGCAAAAATTGGTTTGTATAGTGTAAGAAACATTTTTTAATCTTATACATGATGAAAAGTTGAAAAATTGCATAGGCCCTACTTATTAATTTTACATAAAACTTTTTCTCTTTTCAGAAACAGGGCATGGTTTAAATAACTTGTAAATTTCAGTGACAGTTTGTAGAAAGAATTGTTCTCTGATGTATGGAGATTGACTTGGAAGAAACTGTCTAATTTTGTGGCAAATTCAGTTTTGGAATGATAATTTTTTTATCTTTTAACTAAAATAGACCAGACTTAAATAGCCTAATTTAAAGTTAAGAAATGAGTGAATATAGGATCTATAGAAATTAGGTATTATAGGACCTTAATCGTTGCTCTAGTTTCACCGGAATAAAGCTATGGTTCCATTGGTTCCACAAACTATGGAATTTTTGGCATGATGTGCAAAATTTCCGCTGAGTAATTACAACGACACTGGTTCAATGGAGTTCCCTGTGTCCGGTTCCACTGACGTGTGTTTACAAGACCGGAATTTACGGTTCCGCACAGTGGACAAATACTGGTCTGAGAGCAGTGGCAGGTCGAAATCCGCCAGCGGAGGAGCCAACAATTATTGTGACCGCTCGGTTAGTTAAACACAACTGAATTTCAGCAACGTTATTCACCCAGTTTCAGGAACCACCCCTTCGGATTTTTCGCAGCGTAATTTCTGCAACGGAAAATTTTCTCACCGCACGCCAAAAATTCTGCATTCTGGGGAACCATAGCTTAAGGAGCATTAATCAGCAGTGAGAAAAGATAAATTTCTGCTTTCTTAACCCCTCCGAGTGTCCCTTATTTTTGCCTTAATGTCTGCCTATTTTTGGCTCATTTGCAAGGTTTTATTAAAACGGATCTGAGAAGCTTGAAAACAATGTTAATTATACTGTTCTATATACCATTTTGTTTGGAAAATCATGGGCTTCAATATTATACATAGAACATAAGGAACATTTGTTTCAAAAAAAATTTTAGGTAAAAAAAATATTTTGGAAAATTTTCAAAAAAAAAATAAGTTCGCGCTTAATGAAATTGTATAAATTATAGGCCTATAAATATTTGAAAATAGCCACTTTGTTCTAAATTTTATGAGGATTACAAATATATAATAATATAAGGAAGTAGATTTGCAAATAAATAAGTTATGGGCAAAAAACAGATTTCAGTACATAGCGTTTAGCTAAGAATGCATAGCCTAACCTTAGCTAGGAATCTGGCTGATAATTTACATCAATATCACTACCTACTTCTTCAGGATCATCAACCAGCCCTTCAAAATCACTTAAATCTTCTTATAATGCACCACGTATATCACTACTTTTTATTTTTAACACTAAAACAATGATAAACGTAATAAAACACATCAGTCATCGGTCCGAGGTTAACCAAGCTGTTTACAAATACGCACGTCAGCTGTCTGCTACAATATTTTCAAAACTAAAATGAATAGCGCTTAGAGACAGACCTCCGGAGAAAGCTCTGAATCTGTCAAATAAAACGATACCTAACTCGATCCAGTTCAATCCGATTTTGTCAGTCATAGAGCCTTCGCCATAAACAGTGTTTGTGAGTTGCTGCAGCGACAAATAACACTCGGAGGGTTAAGCTTTAAAACGTAAGAATAACCAAACACCTTAAAAATCAACATAATAAACAGTAATTTTTTATTCTAAATTAAGGTGAATTCAGTCAATAACAAAAAAAACACTCTTGTGATTGCTTCAGAACCGTTTGTGAGCAACGCAGCAGCAGCGCCGACAGAGTCTGCAGAACAAACGGAACGCAACAGACTGCAAAGTGAAGCATGGTTCCACGGGTCTATCAGCAGACAACAGGCAGAACAATTGCTCAGACAGGTAAAACAAGTTAAGTCGGTTGAGAGGAAATGCTCTCACAAAACTTGTTTAGGATTGATCTTCTTACAAGTACAATAAATAGTAGGGGTGTAAAAATTGTACCTATGTTTTTTTCAAGTATAGTTTTGTTGTAGATTGAATGAATAAAACCATTATAAACGAAATTACCTTTAGTTAGGCTTTATTGAACATAGAATCTACCATGATATAGAACTAACAATATGAAACAAACTAACATCATAGTAAACAAAAACAACTTCTAAACATTTGAACAGATGTTACAATGTACAGATAGAAAGGAATTATATGACATTCTTCCCCTCCTAGCTGACATAGTCTTTTAGATACAAAGGCGGGTGTTTACTTCTGGAGCTTCTCCTTAGAGCAATCTGGTCCTGATTCAGTATTTCCTCGTCTTGGAAGATAGGCTCAGGTCCAGCATCAACTTGAGAACTTCTTTCATTTATTTGTAGATTGGTGTTTGAGTCTTCATGTCGTAAATTGGTGTTTGAGTCTTCTTCATGTCGTAGATTGGGATTTGAGTCTTCTTCATGTCGTAGATTGGAGTTTGAGTCTTCTTCATGATGTGACACTTCTCCTACAGGTGCTAATTGCCTGGAACTCACTGTAGTTTCACGGCCATCTGCATATCTTATGTGAGAATACTCAGGATTCCCCTCAAGGAGCAGTACTTCTTCAACGAGTGGTTCGTATTTCGAGCTCCTGACAGGCCGTTTCATGAGCACTGGACCTGGATTCATGAGCCAAGATGGAGTTGTCTTACCATTACTAGATCTTCTAGAAAAGAGAAATAGTCTTTCATGCGGTGATGTATTTGTTGAAGTACACAATAACGACCGGATAGAGTGCAAAGCTTCTAAATGTACTTTTTCCCAATCAGATATGTCCAGATTTTTACTTTTAAGTGATAGTTCGATTGTCTTCCATATAATACCAACATACCTCTCAGCTTGTCCGTTGCCCTGAGGATTGTAAGCTGTTGTACGACTGGTAGCAACTCCTAGTGAACATAAAAATTATTTTAGTTCTTGAGACATAAAACATGAACCTCTGTCAGAATGAATATAAGCCGGTACTCCAAACATTGAGAAAAGTTCCTTAAGTCTCAGAATAACAGTCCTAGCAGCTGTGTCTTGAGTAGGGAACGCGAATGGAAATCGAGAGTATTCATCTACGACTATTAAAAGATAACGATTTCTACTCTTGGAAGGAAGTGGCCCTTTAAAATCTATATTCAGTCTTTCGAATGGTTGAGTAGCTTTAATAAGTTGTCCTTCATGTTTGTGGAATCGAGGTTTTACCTCTAAGCAGGTTCGACAGGAGGAAGTTACTTTTCTGATCTCATCCAGTGAATAAGGCAAGTTTTTACTCCGAGTCCAATGATACATTCGAGACACTCCTGGATGACATAAAGCGTCATGTAGTGATACAAGGTTTGATAAACTTCCTTCCATCGATGAACACACCCTGGATAAAGCATCTGCTGTTTTGTTCTCTTTTCCAGCTCTGTAAATGATCTCATACTTATAACAGGATAACTCAATTCTCCATCTCATTATTTTATCATTCTTGATTTTGCTTGCATTCCGATCACTGAACATGAATGCTACAGATCGTTGGTCTGTTATAAGGCGAAAGTGTCTGCCTATGAGATAGTGCCTCCATTTTCTTAACGCTTCAACTATTGCATATGCTTCTTTCTCAATAGATGAATGTTTCTGTTCCGAGTTAGTAAGTGTTCTAGAGAAAAACGCTACGGGTCTACCATCAATAGTCAAAGCTGCTCCTATTGCATGATTTGATGCATCAGTTTCAACTGTTAACAACCCATCACAGTCAATCGAAGAAGTTACTGCATTAACAATGTCTTGTTTAAGTCTTTGGAATACACATTTAGCTTCTTCATTCAGTGGAAATGAACTTCTGTTTAAACAGCTCACCTTCTCAGAAAATTTAGGAATGAATTGTGAATAGTGGGAGAACATACCAAGAGCTCTGTGAAGAGAGTTTGAGTTGGTTGGAATGGGAAGATCTCGAAGTGGTTGCAGACGATCTGGATCTGGTCTTATTGATTTATGACTGATTACATAACCTAATAGATGGATCATGGCTGTAGAAAACTTGCATTTATGTTTGTTCAAGGTAAGATTATATTTGGAAACAGCTTTCATAAAATTGCTCAAGTTCCTGTCATGTTCAGCCTGATCATTGCCACAGATTGTTATATCATCCAGATAGACCTGAACACCTTCAAGTTTTTCATAAGTGATTATGTTGGTTAACGTACGTTGAAAAGCAGGGACACCATTACGAACTCCAAAAGGCACTCGTGTGAATTGGTACAAATTCCCGCAAGCTTCAAATGCCGTGTAAGGTTTGTCATTTTCTGTTATTGGGATTTGATGATAGGCACTCTTAAGATCAATAGAACTATAAACTTTGTATGAAGCTACTTTGTTGACTATGTCATCAATCCTAGGGAGTGGAAATGCATCAAGTTCTGTAAAACGATTAATTGTCTGTGAATAATCGACAACCATTCTCCGTTTGTGGTTATCTGATGAAACAACAAGGACTTGTGCTCTCCATGGAGACCTGCTTTCTTCAATAATACCCTCTTTTAACAGTAATTGAATTTCACTTTCAATAAACTGTTCGTCAATTGCTGAGTGCCTTCGAGATTTTGTTGCAATAGGCTTACAATCTGGAGATAGATTACGAAATAGTTCTACTGGCTCAACATTAGCTAAAGCCACACTACATATGTTGAGAGGCGACTCTTTTCCTCCAAATTGTACTTGTAAACTTGAGTGTCTTTTTAGAATGTCATGTCCTATAATAATGTCAGAACATAAGTTTGTAAGTACGCTGAAGACCACATTCTTGTAAGTATGATCTTGTAATTTAAGATTGATTTTACAGTACCCTTTTATTGAAGAACGCAGAGTTGTGGAAGCCATTGATACCTCTCCCCCATTACATGGAATGACAGGGATGTTGAATCTAAGTGCTGAGCTTTGATTGATAAAACTACCAGAACTACCAGTATCTATAAGAGCGTATGCATCGACTCCATTTAATTGTACTGGGACTACAGCTTTACTCAAACACGATGGTACTGAGGCAATAAAATTTGACTGATGGACTGATGCCTTTACTGTAGAAGTTGGTGTTTTGGATTTTCTACATACCTTTTGGTAATGACCTTTAATGCCGCATCCTCTGCATATAGCTTCTTTAGCTGGACAAACAGCTTTATTGTGTTTCTTAAAGCCGCAGAAGTAACATGTCTGATTGAGTGAACACGCTATATTTTCTTGAGATGGATACGATTCTGGCTTGGCAGCAGAAGGTGTTGGATCAGGACTGGACAAGTATGGATTCTTTCAGTGATAGGTTTTGAGACTGCAGCGTTGATTGTTGGTAAGCACTTGTCTAAGTTGTACTGTTCAGAGTGATATTTAGCAAGTTCGAGTGATCTGGCTTGAGAAACTGCTTCATCTAAAGACAAAGTAGAGCTTTCCAACAACCGTTGACGAATGTGAGGTACTAGCAAGCCATCAATGAATGTGTCTCTGATATATTCATCTCTACTTGATACAGCATTGACAGCTTTAAAGTTACAATCTTTGGAAAGTCGCTTCAGAGATTCTACGTATGTATCAATGCACTCACCAGACTCTTGTCTTCTGATTCTTAGTTTATGACGTGCATAAATTTCATTGACAGGTTTCAAGTACAACCTTTTTAACACATCAATTGCTTGTTTGTATGTTTCACAGTCATTTACATATTCATAAACGGATGGTGAAATGAAATTGGTTAATACTTTAAGCCTCAATTCTTCACTGATTTTACTAGTTTCAATAAAGTTTTCAAAAGTGTGAAACCAGTGTTTCCAATCTTGACTTGCATTGACTTCATTAGGATTGGCATTAAATCTTTCAGGTCTGAGTATCCGTTCCATAAAAAAAAGATTGATGTATATTTTAATAAAATCTTCTATGTTCAATAAATTGTTGTAGATTGAATGAATAAAACCATTATAAACGAAATTACCTTTAGTTAGGCTTTATTGAACATAGAATCTACCATGATATAGAACTAACAATATGAAACAAACTAACATCATAGTAAACAAAAACAACTTCTAAACATTTGAACAGATGTTACAATGTACAGATAGAAAGGAATTATATGACAAGTTTCGACTATTTAACTTAAACCAGTTTTGGCAAGTTAAGGTTAGTGGAATGATTGTATAGCATTGAGCATATAAACACATCGTAAACATTAACTTCACAGCAAAACTGCAGACTTTGCAATAATTAGCGTACAGCAACGTTTCAACATTGTTAATTAATTAAGCTCTACAAAATGGTGTAAAAAGAAATTGCATGGTTTGTGTTTTTAGGGTCAAAAATAAGAAAGCCCAATTTTTACCTAAACCCCCCCCCCCCCCCCCTCTATGAAACCTAGTTCCAATACCTAGCTGGGCAAATAGATGGTTCAAAGGAACTGCCAACCTTTTAGACACATTTTATGTAAAGGACAAACATTGTACTTGTAGCAAATCCATTGATGTTGTAGGATGGAGATTTCCTAGTGAGAGAGTCGCAGGGTTCGGCTGGTCAGTATGTGTTGACAGGCCTACAGGGTGGAGTCAAGAAACACCTCCTACTCATAGACCCTGAGGGAGTGGTGAGTGTTAATAATAAACTACATCAAATGAATATATGACTCAGCCGTTACTAAAAAAGAAATACTGGGTCGATTAATCTGGACTTTTCTCAAACTTAGCATAATGATGCCAGGACTTTCCATAAAAGCCACCTTTGGTTAGGTAAAAATTGGGACAGCCCTCCCCCCAGGATTAACACAGGTAAAACAGACTGAAATTGGATATGTCTCGACAGAACTGTGACCGGTGGCAACTCTGGTTGTGACCTATGTCAAATCTAACCCCAGCGTCGTATTCTTTAGTTCTCGCTTTACTATTCTTGCTGGTCAACTTCCATAAGCAACGACTAGTCCTGCTTTGGATAACAATGTGAGGAAAAATTTGAGTAGGCCTATGGACAAAATAAAATATGAATAGCGTTTTATGTAATCTTAGGTGTCAATCCCTATCAAAGTCTACAGTCTTCCACTTGTTAACGGAAATGGACACAGAACAAATGTGTAATGGTGGTTGAAGGTTTTTAGATTTCTAAACATTGATTATTATGTTTTCATAATGTTTGCTGCTTTTAGGTGTATTTTCCTGCAGTACCATAGTCATTGTCAATTTTTAAAGGTCATTATCTCATAGTTTATTGGTTACGACTTTTCTTTAATGAAGCCACACAGGCCCGCCGAGAGGGAGGGGGGGCAGCAGGGGCATTGCCCAGGGTCCAGGCCTGGCCTGGTCTAAAATGTCTTGAGGTAAAAAAGGGAAATTTCAGGCTTTGGCGAGGGAAAAACTGTTGAAGTAATGTGGAAGCACTGGTTTAGTGTCAGTTCATTTCTTCGATTGTGCAGTAAGGTTACTGTTTTGTTCTGCTGTTTACCGTGTGTGTAGTGGCGTTGCCGGCGTTGGTATGTAGCTATTGTTTTGTTGTGAAATGACGATCGTTCGGTGTCTAGTTTATTAATTGAAGAACTGTGCGTTTACTGAGAGTTTTGTAACTATAACTATAGACTAACCAACACAAGTAGACTTCTCATCCCATTGTAAATTTTGAAGCAGGTTTTTCGTGTCTAGTTCATGTACGTGACACAAAGGCGCTAGTGTCGATGAAACTTTGTTTCCATTATTTTAGGGTTAATTTCTTGATTTGTGCTTTACTGTTTGGTTATATAACTAGGGGACAAGTTATTGTTTATAATTAGATCGTATTATTTGGTTAAACGAGGTTTTAAATGGCTGTAATAACAGGAAACAAATTGTAAACAAAACACGACCTCTACATAAACCGTACATGAACTAACAATAAAATTGTCTTCAGCTGTTCCATAAGGATGAGAAATCTACTAAGGGAGTATGTTTTATCTATGCTATAACTATGGGCCCATATAACCATAATAAACATAAAAATAAAACCTAAAGCTTGGCATTGGCTTGGACTACCGGGCACCCGGTAACCCGCAGTGAATGTGTTAATAGCAGTAAAAAATATGAAAATATAGATATCTTTAACTAGCTTTTTATTACAAATGCGAGAGATCTTTAAATATCAGATCTCTTTTGAAAAACAAAACAAAACTAAAGTATTTTATGGCCTTAAAAATGTATTTAAAATCTGAGATGGTGTGATAAGTGCTATTAATAAGTTTAAGACCATCAACCACCGCGCCAGCGTTGTTGCGTTGGGGAGGGAGTGGAGTGGTCCCGCGGCAACGATTGCCCAGGGGTAAGAGATTTCTCTCTGTGGGCCTGACGCCACATAGTCAATTCCACCACACTCTACTGTATTTCTTGTTTAGGTTCGCACAAAGGACCGAATGTTTGAAAGTGTCAGTCATCTGATCAACTACCACTGCCAGAACAAACTTCCGATCATCTCTGCGGAGAGTGCACTAGTGCTGCGGAACCCTGTGCCTAGAACTGCGCTGTAAGCTACACTAGGGAAAGTTGAGGGAAAACTTTTAAAACTACCTTTTTGAGTACTGAGCGTTGTAGTTTGATTTTAAAATATGTTCCGAATTAAAAGCTACTAAAATTACAAATGCCGTGTAGCTTGCCTAGTGGCAAGAGTCAGGTTCGATCCTAGTATATCAATAATTTGATGGGGTTAGACCACTTTCCCGTAAACACGTTTAAACTTTCATACAAAATGTGCTTTAGTTTCGATAAAAAAGTTAAAAACATCTGGATATACTTTCACATGAACGATTTAATGTTTATTAAACTAACCTATTATCAACTAGTGATATTTTTCCCTTGACTGAGTCATAACCTTTTGTCTGTCTTTTGTTGTGTATGAATTGGCTCAGAAGTCTAGTTCAGAACTGTTTTAATTTTATTTTTTTAATAACAGTTAAAAACTTTATCTACTGTTAAATCTGTGTCATTTGTCAAACATTAGACCTTTCATTTAACAATATTCCAAAAACAAATATTACACCACCATATCACTGCTTTACAGAACGGTTGAAATCTGATGTTCAAAGTATTACAATTTTACTTCTTTTCTCAATTCTTGAACCTCATTGTTCCAAACTTGGACTGTAAAGTAACAAAACAATACTGTAAAGTAAATAAACAATACTGTAAACTGAATCCTTTCAACTCTAAGAACTGAATTGAAAAAACTAGTTTAAAAAAACGGCCGTAGATAAATATTGTTTATATCCTTTAAGTATTTGCATGATGCAGCGTTGTTAATGAATTTTTACATGGATGTGCTTATTTTTTCACAAGCAAAACCGACGAAATATATTTTTAAAATCCAAAAGATATTTTTGAAGGGATATTTTATATCTTTAATGCGTCTTGAACCAACCTTTTCATTAGTTACCACTTATAATCAATTAAAACTTAAGTTTAGTTTATCAATATACAATTATTTATATACTTTTCATTTTGCATATAAGTTGTCCAATTCTTTGTGGAGTTTAACAGTAATTTTGCAATTGATCTGGGTTGACCAGTAAGTTTTTTTTTTAGAAAATGTTTCTCAGTTCTTAAAACTAATTGAAATATTTGTAATCGATATTTACTACTTGAAAATTGTAAATACAACAGATCCTTAAATATAGCCTACATTCTTATTTTACATTTATATCTAGAGATATTTTTTCTGCCATAGAAAAATTATTTGTATTCATACCCTAATGCATAACAAAATATTATTATTGCATTATAGCATTTACTATTGAATTGCTTCTGATTATTGAAAGTTAATGATGTCTTGAAAGCTGAAAGCAATATTTTTATAGCACAAACAATAGCTTAGCCATTAGTTTTACACACAGTTATGTACTTATAAACGTGATATTTATATACCCTTGTATTTTAGTTGTATTTGTGTTGAATTACATAAACTTCTATGTCAATTCATGTTTTAAAAGGTACTGTGTATGAAAACTCAACAATATAGACAAAAATCATATTTTCTCTATATACGTAAAGGAGAAGTAAGTAATACATATTATTACTTAATATGTATACTTTACTTAATATGTTATTACTTAATATGTATTACTTACTTCTCCTTTACGTATATAGAGAAAATATGATTTTTGTCTATATTGTTGAGTTTTAAAAGGAAATATCTGTATGGTTTCCCTGAACACACTAAAGTGGTTACTGGTTTTCAAAAGTATAAGTCAGTTTGTTGATACCGTTTATAGTTTTAAAACTTTTTTTATACTGTGCCAAATTTAAAATGTTCTTGTTACAACGATTATATGTTAAAGCAAGTATTCAAACTGAGATTTTATTGCATCCAAAATGTGATGATTATATAAAGTTTAAGTTTAACTCAATTTTTATCAATTATTGGATGAATGGTTTTTTTTAAGTTAATTTTGTATAGATAGACTTATGTTTACATAAATTTTGTTAATCTAATTTTGGATTGCTTCTTGATATTTTTTAATGCGTTTACATTAGTTTAACCATACAATGTATTAGCCATTGAATTTGATATCATGTTTATAAAACAGTGTAATTTGCATTTTATTAGTTCGTAAGTGCTAAATGTTCATGATATTATTTAGTTTATTGTGTATTGTTAGCTTATTATAGAATAGCTTATTCCTATAATTCAATGATTTTGCTTATCTAGCAAAAAGTTATGCTCAATACATTTAAAATGTTCCAAAAATATTTTACATCCTCATATTATTCAAACAAAAAATGTATAACGGTTATAGGATGTATTAATTTGGTCTCATTCACCCTTTTTTTCTTAAAATGTAGAAATTTTTCTCATAAAATCTGGACTATATTTGATTTATTATTGATATAAAACCTTGCATTTGGAAATTATTTAGGATAAAAAAAATTTTAATCTGTATTTAATATCTGTCAAAATGTACTACTTGTATTTATATTCATCAGTATTATATTATAACTGTAAACAAAATTTTGAAATTGGCACTTTTTAGTATGGTACATTATGCTCGACACATGAATAATTTATGTACCTATAATGTTATGAATTATATTTTATATTTTGCCTGTAGCAGTATAGATTGTTACCTTTTTTAATTGTGTTAATATTATGCCTTCAATTTATTTAGTGTGTACAATATATTTTATTTTTTCCTTGTCCACTGTTATATCACTTACACGAACATTTGTTTGTAAATATATATATATATACATTTGAAAGTTGTTTTCCTTATTTTATTCCTCCTTTATTCTTATAGCAACCTTTGCTACATCAGACTTCCCATAAGCTAACATGTCAGATAGGTGACACTTTCTTGTTTAATCAGTGTGATTCATATTGTTGAACAGCACTACTGACAGAGTTGCCACTTAGAACGCCTGCCTGGAGTTAAAGGTGACCATGGTCTAGCACTAGTACTGGTGCCCAGAAGAGCAAAATCCTGCAGACACCCTTGCTGTCATGTACTACCCATTGCAGCAAACTTTATTTTTTTTTACAATGTTATTTTAGAATGAATCCGACTAGGAAATGGGTTTGTAAGGCAAATAAAAATTTGCTTAGTCTGCAACGGGGGTATTTTATATCTGTGCATACTAAGATAAAAAAAATATGAGGAATGTCCCTATAGCTACACACACATAAAATCGCTAAAAGACTAGATCAATTTTAATTTATATAGCTCCAAAAAGCAACATTAATTGTTTATTGTTGACCCCTCCTCTTCTTTTTCCAGAGCAGCAGCCACGGCCACCTTTAATTCCAGGCCACACCTTGGTAGAATAGTAGAATAATTGGCAATCGCAAGAAGGGTTGTTTAGTGTCAGACGTCCCACAAAGATGACAGGTGACATCAGCTCATCAATTAGCACTTTTTTGATTAAAATTAAAATTTATGAACATAAATTTATTAAAATATTGAAAATAAAACATACAAAATTGAACACCAAAACAATAATATAAATTGAAAATCTATATCTGTACATTTAAAACGAAGTCATTTCCATAGTCCAGTATCCAAGCTTTCGTAAATACAATTTATTAGCTGCTTCAAAACAAAACAGCTGTTACATACAATCCTACTTGCGACGTTGCCACTTCGAAGGCCACGGTCTGTAGTTAAAGGCGGCCGTGGTAGCAGTAGAGGTGCCGTTGGTGGAGAAGGGGTGTTAATGAATTCGGAGCTTTAAAATTATGTAGCCCCGAAAGCTTCTTTTGAAATGTCTCAGAACTCTGGGAGAATTGTGTAACTTTTCGAATAGGTCCGAAATGGTCTGGAGCTTTTGCAGCTTGAAATTATTCGGAACTATTCCAACCAAGTGTTATTTGAAGTTAATAGGAACTATGAGACCTATCATTGACTCATACTACAATTGATTAGGGGAAATCTATAATCAATGATACTATTAACAACACAGCTGTTTCTAAAGGAGATTTTTCATGCTGTCACCCTGAGGACCCTGAGTGATAAATTTCATATGTCAGTCAGCTGACTTGGTAGGGGTAAACGCCATCCAATCCAATCCATGTATGCGCCGGACTGTGTGAAAAAAACACTCTATTCGTCGGGAGAAAGTGTCAAATGTCAAATGCCTTCAACCAAACAACCAAACCAAACCGACGTTCAGGTTCGACAGAGTAGGTGTGTTTGGAATTTAGGTGTACTCAATAACTAAATTGAATTGAATACCTACCTAAAAATCACATATCGGGATTTCTTGTTTTGCAATTAGATTTGTCATCTCTATTGAATCAACATGGAAGTGGAATCAAGATCAACCACGAGAAAAGTTATAATTGATGTTATATGCTTAGCCTGTGGTAAGAACTAATTCATTATCTATTTACATTTAGGCCTACCTTTTTTTTACTCAAAGGACCATACTTAGATTTACAACGAAATGTTTTTTTAAATTTTTGTTTAGGCTTTAGGCAACTGAACATGTTCTTAGTTAATGAAAAACAGTAGGCCTAGGCCTAATTTGGTATCAATGCTACCTTTCAAATTTCTGTTTATTTTCAACCTTGATGTTAACTAATGTAGCCTATTTGTGAGGGTTTATTTTACTTGTAGGCTATATTATGGTACTTTTATTAGACACTTCATAAGCCAGTTTCAGATTGAAAATTCATCGAACATCTTGTGTACAAGTTATTGATACAACTGGATAACAACAAGCCCTTCTGTAGCGTAGGATATCGTCTTTATATTGTTTTAAGATTCAATAATTTTGTTTTTATTAGGACCTCCAAAAGAGTGTTTAAGTAGTGTACTATAACTTATCGGTAAAAACATTTGACCAACACCGTTAAGGTCGATTCACATTAATCAGTCCCGTCAAAGTTCCGTCACAGGGACAGTTCAGTCTCAGCTGCATCCACAATTCCTCAGTCAACTGTCTGTCAGTTGGTTTTCTCAGTCAGTCTTCCATCACTTTATTTAGGACCTAGGCCTACAGTGTTGTTAAGTTACAGTCAAGCATTTTTTTAACTAAGTTAGGTACCTATGAAAAAACACAAACACTTAAAACACAATAACTTAACTTAGGTACCTAGGTACCGGTATACTAATCAACTTTTCATCATGCATCTTGATGATGTTATAAACCAAGTATAAATTCAGACTTTAAGCCTACCTAGGTACCGGTATACTAATCAACTTTTCATCATGCATCTTGATGATGTTATAAACCAAGTATAAATTCAGACTTTAATAAAATAATAAAACACTATTTTTTGAATGTCAAATACTTAAAATATCAAGTGTCAGTCAGGCGTTCGATCAAATTACCAAAATATCAGTTGAAAGATAGCTGGAATTGAGAGATGGACCACCGGCAGAGCGACTGATGGACCTGTGTAAGAACTGTGCCAGAAAATTGTAGAGGGCAAAGAAAAAACCATTGAAGGATAATATTTTTGACAGAGACGTGTTAAATATGACTGAACTGTCCTTTGAAATACAATAGGCTAAGTTTTACGTTTTATACTGTAGCGTAAACTTAGACCTTTTTAAAAATCTTATACAAATGACGTTAGGCATATAAGTTAAATGCAAGTCACCAAACAGTTGTTAGTTGCAAGTATACCAACTGTAACATTCATTGTAGGCTAAATGTACCCGTACCGGTACCATATTTTAGCCTATTAATGAGCACTATAACCCATAGTAAGCCCTCAATGTAAAATCTTTTGGACTCTTTAATTACACATTTGAAATACCGCTACTACTAACAATTTTTCTAGCATCAATGTTTTACTATTAGCTGCTTTGTACCGTACCTCTCAAAGGTGAGTTCAAATGTATTGAAGCTATTGTTTGAGAAGCACTAAGTGCTACTTCTGTTGAACACGTGCCAGAATGTAAACAGATGGTTGTTATCCAAGCTCCATTAAGTTTTATAGGTTAGTTGTCTTGCAAGTAGTTTTCCTCGTGTTACATTGTTAGATTTCTAGTTGCCAGCTATCTTTTATTGATCTGGAAAATTATTTGGAAAGTTTAATAGAATTGATTTTTTGTTCCAGTTGGATTCCCATTGCTGTTTTT